AGTGGAATCACAGGAAACAGTCTGCAAGTGTGAGATGCTCCTTTCAATTCGTAAGGACACCATCCACCCTATGCGTATCACTGTAGACTTACATGAAGTGAAGGAAACACTTACCTCTAACCCTGATTTGTGACTTCACACTTCCTTTTGATGCAGTAGAAAGAAATGATAGAGCAGATTCAGTTTTCTCTTGCCACCACAGTCTTTGGGCATTTACCTCAAGTTATCTCAAAATGATATTTTTTCATTCATTTGTTTGATTTTTCTTTTTTCAATTTTATGTTTGAGATTATAATGTAATTAAAGTATTTCTCCCTTCCCTTTCCTCCCCCAAACCCTTTCATATACCCCTCAATGCTCCTTACATTTGTGTCTTTATTGACTAATTGGATTATATTCATTTATTTATATGAATATACATATATAATCCTAAATATAACCTGTTCAATCATATAATGTTACTTATATGTATGTTTTCCAGGTTGACATTTTAGCACTGGACAACCATTTATTGTTCCCTCCTCTGGAGAAAACTACCTCTCCCACTCACAGCTTTACATGCATGCTTACAGTTTTGTTGTGTAGTGTTGAGGTCTCATGGGATGTTCCCTGTCCACCTTGGGGATTGCATTAGTGCTTCCTTATTCAGCTCACATGTGGAGAGTCCTGTTGGCAAGATTTTATGGGATGTTGCTTCTGACATGACTAGCAGACAGTCTCACAGCAAACTCCCTGGTCTGCTGGCTCTTGCCATCTTTCAGTCTCCTGTTCTGCAAGTTCCCTGAGCTATAGGTATGAGAGTGCTTTGGAGATGTATCCAATATGACTGGGCTCCAAAGCTCAGCATTCAATCCGTTTGGGTTTTATAAATAGGAAATTTAATGTTGTAGGTATATGTTTTTTATATTCACACAGAAGATAAAGATTGAGTCTTTTTGTATACATCCACCCATACCCCAAACACAAAATCATATTACCCATACATAGTTAGAATTTTATATTTATGTCTCATTGCTTTCTAAAATTATTATAGCAATGTAAAAATTCCCCAAGTTAATCTTTAATATATCCACAAGTTCTGAATATGGCATTATCATCCCTAGCAGACACAATTTTAGAAAGAAAAATAAGTCATTTATAAAGATCATCATTTTGTAATTTTTCCATGGCAATGCTGGAAAATGGAGGAATGATATCAAAACTTATAAGCAAAACATTATTTCCAGCTTAAATTTTTGTAACAAAACCTAACTGCATATTAAATGTGAGAGTAATACAACAATGTATCTGCAGATAAGGAAGCTTTAAAGCATTATAGTCTCGTGCGCTTTTCCAAAAATTAACAGAACATCTTCAATTAAAATGAAGAAATGAACCTACAAAGAAAAAAATGGCACCGTGAAAGAGCATCCCACAAAACAAGGCAGTGGGAACATTTCTGAATGCACCTTTGGCAACTTGCACATTTTTAAACAGGCTGACTGCTTTGTTATAGAAAAATATTCTGGATTATATGTCCAAGAAAAATGGAACTACTGCAGTATCTGAAGGGTTGAATACATAAATAGGTAATTTAGGTATTTCAGACCTTGTGGTCAATTAATGACACACGTGGAGGAAGCTATGTGGAATACGTAACACAATTATCAGTCTCAGAAAAAGGATCTGTAAGAAATGAAATGAAATTATAGGTATTTTCTAGCTTAGTTTGATTTTCCAACTGTTTCTAAAAGTCTAAATGACCCACTTTTCCTTTGAACATTGCTCTTCTGTAAGTACAAATGTGTTTCTTTATGCCGTACACAAACTTTTATGTTCAAACTCCTGATCAACTAGGGATAGTAATACCATATTCAGAACTTGTGTATAAGTTAATAATACGCTTGAAGAATATTTGCATTGCTACAATAGTTAAAAAATTTATATGTCATAAAATGAAAATTTAACTTTCTACAGGTTATAGGTTATAAAAATATTTTGTGTTTGGGGTATAGACAGACATATGAAGAAAAGAATCTGTCCTTAACTTCTGTGTGAACATCAGAATGTACATTTACACCATTTAATATCTTATTTAGATAACTTTGAGTGAATACACAAAGAATCTTTCTCTTTTTGTTGTTATTATTTGTGTGTGTGTGTGTGTGTGTGTGTGTGTGTGTGTGTGTGTGTGTGTGTGTGCAGGTGTGCATGTCTTATGCTCAAAAGTAGGAATCAGAAGTGGGTATTAAATGTCTTCCCTATATAACTCTGTACTTTATTGCCTTGAGAGAAAGTCTCTCACTGAACTGTGTTTGCTGTTTAGGCTAGGATGACCAGAAAGCTCCTAAAACTCACTAGTCTCCACCCATCAATGCTGGGACTACAGGCACACACATGCATGTCTAGGTGTTTTTATTTGGGTACTTAGGATTGGAACTCAGGTCCTCACCTTTGCACAGCACATGCTTTTACCTACAGAGCCATTCCCCAAGCTTCCAAAAAATCTGTTTAAAGAGTTAATGATTTTTTCTATGAAGAGAAAGGTAAAGATAGGCCTAGAGGCTATTTTCTTATACTAAACCTTGAAAATAAATTTACACTTAAGTATTAGCTGAGGAAATAAAATAAATTATTCTCTTATGTTAGTTTGTATATTTTTTTCTTATATGATTTAGATAAATTTTAAAGCAAAAAAATTTAACCTATATAACAAAATATTTAATTTATAAAACTACTGGCCTTATTACAGCACTTGGGACCAGATAATTGAATGTTTGGAATATCATGTAAAGATTATTAGGAAAAAGATCTTACAGTTAAAAAAGAAAGAAAGAAAGAAGGAAAAAAACCCATGATTTTTAAAATTGGACTTGACCATGCTACTTAATGCACCTAAAATTTCCCCTATGGCATTTGATATCTTGGATATCTTAATGTACAAATGGTAGAATATTGCCTACTCTTGGACTGTTTGGAATAAGTAATATCCTGTACTGAGCAGGAAGAAATAATCAAGCGTTAACTGATGCCAGATCTTCTAGCTCTGTTATATTAGTGTCTCTCTGAATCTTCCATTTGCTATACACTGGTTTCAGACATTTTGTGGAAAAGTGTGTCAATGGACCTAATAAAAATAAAATTCCTTGCATTTATAGTGACTGCAATCAGGCATTTAGATGGGACTGTATAATGGTTGAGTGAGGAATCTCCTCTTTCAATAAAACATTGGCGGAATCATCAAAACTAGCTTTCAGAATCCTAAAAATAAAGCACAAGCTTGTAACAGTCTGGGAAGTGTTTATTCAAGAAAAACCGATGGAATTCTTTAACATCAAAAGGCATTTAAATTTGGTTTCACGCCCAGGTTTATAGTAGCCTGAAATGCATCACCACTCTAGCCGTTTCCACGAGAAGGACAACGCTGGAGCACTTGAGACAGTGCACCCCGAGAGAATTGCCACTGTGTGGCCTGTCTGGAGCTTCACAACACAAGTTACTTGATAATTGACTTGTCTCAGAACACATTTGGGGAAAGTCCTGACTCTCTGGACAGTTACTAAAAACAATCAGAAACGCGTTTAACTCTCTATCATTCCAAACTGCAAGTAAGTGTCTGTTCAAGATACTAAAGAGATCTGGGGGGTGAGACGCTTAGGAAACTTTGAAATGCTCTCCTGTGTTCTGACAACGGTGGAGGTTATATAGGGGCAGATTGCTATCTGCAAACCCAACGGATGCTCAAAAGGAGGCCATTCTGGCTGAGCTTGGGCCCTGTGCTAAGAAGAGAAAGGTAAAGTAAAGCATCATATCGTCCCGAGCATAGAGGGTATGACTCCAAAGAAAATGAAACTCTCTAACTGAGTAGATAATTATAGACTCAAGAAACTCAAGAAACCGCTGTCCAATCATTCTGGCCCTAAAGCTCACAGAAAAAAAAAATTCAGTAACTAGATTACAGTTAAATCACTGTAAGTCACTGAGCAACAAAGAATAAAACCTAAAGGCAATAAAAAGTGTGGATTGGAGGTAAATGTGTGTACGGAGCTGGAGGTGTACCATCATACATTATCTAGCTATATACTACAATAGCTTACTTAATACTTCTAATTTTTAACAAAATTTTAGGAGACATGCCGAGACAGAAAGTATCATCCTAAGAAAATGACCAAAAAATGTCTTTAAAGTGACTCATAGACTATGCTCCTCATACAGTCACAAAACAGTTAAAAATTCGAGATTAAGAAAATTGACTCTGCCTTCTCCTTTCCTTGCCTGTACAAAGCCTGAGATCAGCCAGAATTGGCTCCATTTGGTCTTTGTGGGTCATAAAAATAGACCTTCATGTACATTCAATCTCTGTATGAGAGATCAGCCAGAATTGGCTCCATTTGGTCTTTGTGGGTCATGAAAATAGACCTTCATGTACATTCAATCTCTGTATGAGAGATCAGCCAGAATTGGCTCCATTTGGTCTTTGTGGGTCATGAAAATAGACCTTCATGTACATTCAATCTCTGTATGAGAGATCAGCCAGAATTGGCTCCATTTGGTCTTTGTGGGTCATGAAAATAGACCTTCATGTACATTCAATCTCTGTATGAGAGATCAGCCAGAATTGGCTCCATTTGGTCTTTGTTGGTCATGAAAATAGACCTTCATGTACATTCAATCTCTGTATGAGAGATCAACCAGAATTGGCTCCATTTGGTCTTTGTGGGGCATGAAAATAGACTTTCACATACATTCGATCTCTATATTCACTAGAATACATTTTTATATACTAGACAGTGTTGCTGCTCAAAGGACATCACCAACCCTGAGATTTTGCACCCACACTCCCAGAGTAACTGCCTGCAGGGCTACACGTCTATAAACATACAAAAAAAAAAAAAAAAAAAAAAAAAAAAAAAACAAAAAAAACCTCTGTTCTTTTTGTAAATAACGAAAAGCACAGAGTTACTTGAAAATATTTTAGGTGTGTGTCTATCAGCCTTTATAATATTCTTCTCTTTTTGCAGGTCCTCCAGTGAATGTCACATGCAACATATTCATAAACAGCTTTGGCTCCATTGCAGAAACGACTATGGTAAGCCTGTCCACTCAGTAACAAGTTTCACACTGAACTGATTTGTAATTACCTTAGTGAAATTTACAACTTAATTGGGTATAATGAGATTTTAATAAATGAAATTAGTGGAATGACTAAATTACTGTCAACTGTAGATGATAATGTCTATCTAGAAATTGTATATTGGAAAACATAAAAAAGTATTAAAAACAAGGTTGGATTTTTCTAATTCAACACGATATGTTAGATTTCCATGTAAAATTAAAATGCTACCAGATTATTTATTTCCAGTACTCGACAATAGTCACCAATGCATACTAGTAAACATCTTGATATTTAATTATTCTTCATGCTTACAGTCTACTTATACCATACTTTTATGTAGCCTACTAAATCCCCTTTTCAAATGAATGAAGCACTTTCCCAAACATAATAAAGATCTTTAAAAAGCGCTAATCCTAGATGTACAGGCCTCTAATCCCAGCTACTCAGGAGTCTGAGCCAAGAAAATCATAGGTTCAAGTGCTGTATGGGCTACAGAGTGAGCTACAGACTAGCCTAGGAAATTTACTTAGATAATTTCAAATGAAAAAGGGAAGGAGAAACAGAGAGCTGGTGAGATGTGGCTTCATGCCAGGTGCATCCCCTAGCACTGAAGATGTTGGTTCAGACCTCAGTGTCAAAATCAAAACAAACCCAAAGCTAAGATAATCTATGCAAACTATAATTACTGTGTTTTCATTTACCTTTGCTGTCTTACTAAGGGAAGTACATAAAATGAAGTTAATAAGGGCCCAGAAAAGAGAGCTGAAGCTGGGTGGTGGCGGCACATGCCTTTAATCCTAGCACTTGGGAGGCAGAGACAGGCAGATCTCTGTGAGTTCAAGGCCAGCCTGAGCTACTGAGTGAGTAGCTCTGTCTCAAAAAAACAAAAAAAAGAGAGAGAGAGAGAGTTAATCATTATGTACCAACTTTGTTTTGAATTATTTAACATTAATTAAATATTATGTTGCATATTCTTATTTGATCTATTGTACTAGTTGAGAAATTTAGCTGATATAAATAGGCAAAAATATGTCATTGAACCATTGAATAACTAAAATAATCAACATTTAAAACAAAAGTGTGATGGTTCTTAAATTATCTAGTTATACTGTATTCCTAAACTTAGCAAGAATAATTTGCATTAATATCCCAAGTAGAATTAACTAAACTATCATATAAAATACTTAAAAGACTAAGATTCCCAATACTGTTATAAAGAATTACAATCATTTACATATTTCAGACTCATGCAATAATGAAGTTTCTTATGAAATATAATGACAAAAATTGCTAATTTAATGTGGAAATTATTTTCACTGAGAGTTGTTTAGGTTTTATGCAGAAAGGAAAGGAATTCATCTCAACAGAAAGAACCATTCAGGCATCATTTTCTTCAACTTGCTGCTATACTTATCATTAAACAACATTTTAATGGTTCCCTTCTAATTCAGTATAGTGATAGGAAAAGCATTGGCAAAGAATAATGGGGTTCAGACTTCAATGTATTATAAAGACTTGTAGACTCATCTTTAACAAAGCATATAAATACATATGACTGTGTATTAATCTAAACATGGAAAATGATACAATTTCTTATATAATCACAGTGTGATTCTGTCAAGAGTTTATGTCTACACTCAGGAGGCAGAAGCAGGCGGATCTCTGTGAGTTCGAGGCCAGCCTGGACTACAGAGTGAGTTCCAGGAAGGGCGCAAAGCTACACAGAGAAACCCTGTCTCAAAAAAGAAAAAAAAAAAAGAAAAAAAAGAGTTTATGTCTAAAGTAACTTTAATTGTTTGAGACTAGAATATTCTACAGTCTTATTGGATGTCTAGCTCTGATTTCTGATTCATCTCCTGTATATATTTATGCTGCATCTAAATCATCAAAGAAAACTACAACTGGCCTTTTCCTATGTCATTCCTGAAGTTATATTTAAGTTCCCCTGGCAACTCTCTCATTTTAGTGTCTTCTATATATACAGACAGCAGTCCTAAAATCCTGAAAATACATTTCCTTTTATTTCTCTTGTGCAAGATTGCTTCCAGAAAACACCTCCCATAGCAATAGTTAGAAAAATTTGCCATCTTAGTAAATTAAGGCAACAGAGCTTGAATAACATAGAGGAACTCTGATTTTCAGGTACCTAGAGGATTCTATTCTTTGTGATGATTCTCCAGCCTGTCACTAAACTGTCCATCATACCTACAATATGACTGTGCTGACTAATTTTTTTAATATTTTGCATTTCAAAGTATTGTACACATTAGACATAACAAACATGACTCAGATTTATGTCCTTCTTACAGCATAGCAAAAATTTGCATTTCTACATATTGCTTAGTAAATGTTAGCTCTATAGGCAATTTTAGCAAATGTCCCTTGCTTTTTTACAGTTCTGAGCAAGTATGAGTAAAGATTAATAAAGACCCCAGAGATTATGTGTAGCTGAAGTTTTCCTGTGTCCTGCCTGACCTGCAGTCAGGACAAATCTCTCTTACCCACCAGTCTGGCAGCTGCTTGGACCCAAGTAAACACACAGAAGCTTATATTATTACTAACTGAATGGCCATTAGCTCAAGTTTATTACTGACTAGCTCTTACACTTAAATTCTTATTTATATTTAGTCATGTGGCTTGGTACCTTTTCTCAGTTGTGCCTTCACATCTTGCTTCCTCTGTGCCTGGCTGGCAACTTCTGACTCAACCTTCCTCTTCCCAGAATTCTCCTTGTCTGCTTATACCACCTGTACTTCCTGCTTGACTACTGGCCAATCAGTATTTTATTAAACTTCCAAAAACTAAAATGGCAGAGACAGCTGTCTGCCTGGACAGTTATCTGAAGTTCCTCTGCAATGGTGGGGCATCCATCTTCAGCCCACAAGCCTAGAGTCTCTCAGTCACTTCTTCCTGTGTCCTGTAGAATGTCTGGCAGTTTCTTCTGCAAAGTAGGAACCTGAAGCACCATCTCGCCTTGCAAAGTTCAGTGGTCACCTTCCTATGGGTCCTGCATGTCCAGTTTAGAAAACATATTATCAAGCAGTCAACACAAGGGCACTTTTTTGCCCAGTAACTAACTTTTGCCACAAAGAAATCAAACTCCATGATGAGTTTCTTCAATGCCCGTTATCAACTCTGAAGTAGATTGGTGTTGTCAGGAGCAGACATGTCTCAATGTCTAGAAAGTCAAAGTTTTTAAAACATTTTGAATGCCATATTCTGTAGGTCTTTGAAGTGTTTGAAGATTACCTGTCTAATTGAAATATATCTATGTATACCTAGAAAACTTAACATGACTATAAGTTTGACTATTATAGAAGACTATTAATCTGTATTTCTTAATTATCTGTTACAATTCAAATGAGTTACATAAACATAACACCCTAAATGAGGACAGAAATATATATAATAATAAAATCAACTCTAAATTTGTATCAATAAACCACAATCTTTACCAATGTAAAACATTTAAAGCAAGTTGCTCTTTAAAAGTAGGTTCAATAATCCACCCTTTTATCCTATCATATCTATATCCTATATTTCCATATCATATCCCTCTTTCTTCTTTTAGAAAGATATTGACTATGACCAATAATAATTTGTAACCAACAACCTAAACAAAGACAGACATCTATAATCCACTTTTTGGGAATGTGGGAGTAGTTTTCTAGGCTACTTCTTGCTGATAGAGGGTACTAGTAACCTTATGGGGACACAAAGAAAATTTTAGGATTATGGTCAAGTCTGTGAGGCTGTATTCTTTGAGTCAGTTGCCTTGAAGCTGACTTTGGATGTTGGATGATCTAGGCCATGGTGTCATTGGAGACCTTTCAAGGGGTCTTGGTTGGCCAATCAACATTTTATTTATCAACCAATCAGAGCAACACATTCGTAGCACACAGAGTGACATCACCCCTCAATTATGTGCTCATTAAATACTTCACATTGGTGTCTGTCTTTTTAATTCTTCCATATTACTAAATATGTGATGTCATTTTTCTCATCCAATTGTTCAGATTAGATACTTTAAAAGTTTCATACTTTCAGCTTCTACAGCTGAAATATGGTTTCCATCTGTCAAAGGAATAAAGGAAAGTAGAACTTGCTAGTATATTTTGTTCTGAAGCATCATAAGTTATAATGCTTCCAATTGATTAATTTGTTATATTTTACTCATAATGACCACCTTCATTACTCTCCAAATAAATTGCATTCTGCTGTTTAGTATTTTTTTAAACAAATTTTATGCTTATATATGTTAATATGTTTTTAAATTAACTCTATGCTAAGAATGTGGTAGTATTTTTTATTACATTGTATTTATTGATTTTGTATTCTGTGTGTGTGTGTGTGTGTGTGTGTGTGTGTGTGTGTGTGTGTGTGTGTATTTGCCTGTACATGTTCACACACACCACAGTGCACATGTAGAGGCAAGAGGACCATGTGTGGGTGTTATTTTTTTCCCTTCACCATGTGACCTGTGAGGATTGAGCTTTGGTTGTCTGAGTTATGCACCAAGCCATCTTTCCAGCCCTATATTTTTAAATATATTCACATTATTCCAGTTCTGTTTTTATATATAACCTAATTCAATTAAGATTACCCTTTCAAATTAAAAGGATGTAATTGTGGATTGCTTAAAATTAATTCATTAATATCTTTGTGTCTGAAAATTCATAGATTAATGTGACTTAATAATTATCCTATATACATCTAATTAACAACCTTATTAACTGTCTTCATTGTTCTTATTACCCAAATACTTGAGCTCCCTTTGCTGGAGGGAGCTTATCAACTATTGCATCTACCCATTTCAATAGACAGTATTATTCTCAACTGAAGATAGCTTTATTCTTCCTGTAGAAGACATTCTGTTTTTTAAGCCTTTTAAAATACATTTCACAATTTCTTTTTGGATCAACGTATAGTGTCGTACAATATTCATGTGTTGGGGAGTGCTTGATATAGGTGTG